AGCCCCAAACGCAATTTCATTGTTCTTGACAATGACAATAAATAAATACTACTACTACTAGAGCCAGAGCAGGGGACAGGCGAGCTGGAACAAACCATTTTTTTGGAGGAGGGGTATCTATACTTTTGTTGTTAAAATGTCACGTCTCAACCAAGTTTATTTTTAGTAGTGTGTCACACAAACAGCAAACACTGTCAAAAAAGTAAGAAATCTTTGGAGTGCTTTGATTGTGGGTTAAAAACACCCGTCGCCTGGTGACGCTGGAAGTTTCTTCCTGTTAAAGAGGTTTTCCTTCCGACTGTCACAAGTGCTTGCTCATGGGGGGGTCTGTTTGTTGGGGGTTCTCTGTCATAATGTAGGGTCTTTGAACGGGAATGGTCAATTATTTAAATTCAATGAAGTCGATCTATTATTATTTAATTACAAAATAAAACAAGAATTTAATGCAGATTTTATTAAATGTTCAGATTCAGTTCATGAATTATTTGCAGATTTGAAGATAACATTTCATAAAGTGAGTGCTCAGCTTACACAGTGGTACACCCCGCTCAGCTGCAGAGCCTCACATTAACATTCATTTAACAACCACCGTAAAGAGCAGCCAGCAGGGGGAGCCAACAGTAATCATTCTCTCTGATAGCTGTAGTTCAACTGACAGGAAACAGGAAGTAGACAGTGATTGGTCAGTGATTTCAATAACAACAGTTTCCTCAACATCCCAAAAGATTCACAGTAAGCTAAAAGAAACGGGCTGATCTTCATCAGAAGACAGTGGTCTGCTCCTGCCTCTGAGCCGAGTCTGGGGTCTGCACACAAACGTCACATCAGTCAGGCTTTCTCTGGGTTAGCTGGATCAGCTGAGCCCAAACTCGTCGTAGAAACAGGAAACAGGAAGCAGCAAACTTACGAGGAAGAGCAGGGTGTGGTGGATGATGAACTCTCTAGTGAGGGTGATCAAGTCCTGGTTCATGGCCTGGAACAGGGACGGGACCAGGACCACAGCCAGGTTATGGGCCGACATCTTGTTCACCTGAGAGAACACCTGAACCCTGAGGGAGAGAGGGAGGAGTCAGTGAGCAGGTGATGTTCTGTGTGCTGGTTTCATTCACTGTGTTCATGATCAGACTAAATAAATCATAATAACAGGTTCCATCAGCGTTCGATTCAAACTCAGGCGACTCCAGCCCTCCTACCTGCACGTCAGTGCAGTAGAGCTGGGCGATAGAACGATACGATATGTAAAATAACGTTTTCTCGATAGAAAAGTTAAACTATTGTGATAGGCCTCACCGCTCTTGTCCTCTTAAAAAAA